TACGCCGAACTACTTCGGTTTGGTCACCACGAAGTAGATGTACCTTCGTACGACGTCGTTCTTCGTATGCTACCCAACCGACCTACGATGAGCGTAGCTCTCTCTCCTCCCCTCCTCTCTCTCTCTCTCTCTCTCTCTCTCTCTCTCTCTCTCTCCCCTTCAAACATGAGCTTACTGTGTTGATAAATAGCGGATTGGGATTCTAGAGCATAATTGAATAGTTTAGGCTCAATATCCAAGTGTTTGAATTTAAGTGTAAACTATTACTGAAATCCAGTCTGCCACTTTCTGGAAATCTGGAAATTTATAGCAAAACTGGACTTTACCCTGCTACCAATCCTGCAATCTACTGGTTTAATATAAAAGAGAGTCACATCAAGAATACATGGAAATTTGATTGAAGAGGTGCACATTAGGTCATGTATATATTTAGAACCTTATGTAAATTATCTATAGGGGAATTCTGCTCCTTTTATGTTAAATCATAGTATAATTGGAAAACATTTGCCCCGATTTTTTATTTTCTTAAGAAGCTGAAGAATTTTAACAACTTGAGCAGACTTGGTGTTTTTTCAGAATGGGATGCTTGAACCCTGGCTAGAGAGTAAAGGGCTAGTTGATGCAGACCAGGTGTTGGCCTATTTCGCAGTATCGAAACTAGGCGAACCTCCAACTGATGGAAAAACCGACATGAACCCTGAGGGATTAACAGCAGCTTTTGGCAAATGGGCCTCCGCTGTGGCCACACGTCTCCATTCAGGAGGTCTTTCATGCAAGGTACTTCACATAATAACCATTTTTTCTTTGCGAAAAGATGAAGCTTATTGTTCTTCACATCAGCACCCTCAATTAACTTCTAAAAGGGAACGTATATCATACATTCGTGGGGTGTAGTATAGGGTACGCAACAAGCACAAGGTTGAAGTCCACCATTCGTAGAGAATGGATACTGAAGCTTCCATGGTATGTTATACACCATACACCGCTGGCTTGTGTTGAGATTGTCTAATGTTTGGAACGGATAACATAAAGAACAATCTCAAGTTTCTTGGAAATGAAATGCTGCAAAAAATATTAAAAGAAAAGCACAACCCAAGAGACTAGTAATTGCAAAACTGATAACTAGAAAGAGTAATTCGAATATTTGATGTGTAGGTGCTTGATAAAGAATCCTTTCAGAAACAGATGTTAGAGAAATTGATATGGATATCAGCTTTCATGCTTGTTGGGGCTCGCCATCCTGGGGCTACCATGGGTGCTGTGGAGAAAGAATACCGTTCCGAGGTGAGTCCAACAGTATTTGTTTTCAAAAGTTGAGCTTTGAGTTTTGATTTTCCATTGGCAATTAATCTAAGGAGAAGGATAGTCCAATGGACAAGGTCAAAGTGCTGTCCTTTGAAATCATGCCTGTAAATGAAATAAGGACCTTTTACAGAGGGTTCTCTCCCTCACCACCCAGACTCTCATCGGAAATGGCGACTGCAATAGACTAAGGTTTCCATAATCCATTGGACTATAAAATAGATATGTCAGCCTTAGTCATATGAATCTTGTAACATTTGAGATAGTCGTGTCTGCACCTACTTTGTCTAAGATCCTCTAATACAATGGCTGGCTTAAACATGTTCCCTTTACATGTCTCATGAGGCTAAATTTGCATAATTACTAAACCCTAAGAAACCTTGGAATAGCATTGTCCTGCAATTACAAGCCCTTTAATGTATAGGCTTTGGGGCACCTGACTGTGTTCCAATGCGTGTTGGATTGCTGTCAGAGCATTAAAACACCTACACTTTCTCAATTGGTTTGGATTCTTTGGATTTCACAGTCCATTGGGGAGACTTTCCTTTCCCCAAAAGTTATTTGGGTGTTCACTTATGTTCAGTTGTAACAGCAATTTTTTGTTATTTATGTGGACGATTGATATGAGAGTAAACATTCTTACTCAATTCTCCCCACCTAATTTTTCGTCTATTTGTTAGCCCTTTGTGATAGAATAGGCAAAGTAAAACTCTAAGGCTCCTAAAAAATAAAATAGCTGCAAGAGTGGATAAAAATCTACCATCATGTGTCAGGTTGGTCGCCTCATCCAGGAGCTTGCAGCAGCCACAACAGCAGAGAACAAACTAGTGTTTGAGCCTGCCATGGAGGATAGGCTATGTGCATATTCTAGGGCTGTTGCTCACTTTCCAACCGCTGTCAAAGAGGTGATCCTTCTGCTCTTACTGACCAAAGCAATAATTATCATATGTGGAGGAACTCTATGGTTAAATCATCATGGAATCCCAATAAAGTCCAGTTTTCCATAGTTCATGGACTTACTTTCTCATTGTCACTTGCAACATCATAATTTTCTTTGTAAGGGTATGTAACATAGTTTTGATGCTGTGATATCTTCTGCAGTTTAAATGGCGGAATGGATGGTTCTATTCACTCACTCAAAAGGCCATTGCTGAGGGGAGACCAGATCCATGCCCCTTACACACCACTTGGCTCAAGGAACTGAAGATTATCTAAGTAACAATACATCCTCTATGTAGTTCTTTTTATTTTTCAGATGTTTTGAACTTTGGCAGAGAACAGCAACTGATTGAGATTGTTCGAGCTAGAAACATGCTTCTCATCTCCTGTAGCAAACAACATTAGATTAAGAGAATGTTTTCAACCTGAAATATTTTGTTAAGAATTGAGAAGCTCCATTGTACCTGTCTTCAATCCAACTTGCGCATTCCACTCGTCAATAATCTGTATTCATGAAAATGGTGGGTCAATAAATCAGACCTAATTCTATACTTGATGCATTTGAAACTAACAAAGGAATCAGTATAACATAATGAAATGTGAGTTTCAATGCTAGTAAAACTTAATGCTACAAAGAAGCATAAGTGTCTACTTTATAATCTGAAGTAATTAAAATAGTAGGTCCAAAATTAGGCCCACATAAATTGTGAATTACGTAAGTAACACTTGGGGTGACGCAGGAATAATTCAATGCATGACATCCATGAAGCTTGATGCAATGAACATACTGAAAGCGTTTGCTTTTTATGCACATTCAAGTGGTTAGCCCCATTCAGGAAGAGACTGTTAGAGCCGATCCTGAAGAGATAACCATGATGATAACATAGATATTTGACAAGGATATTTGTTAATTACAAGAGAAATTCAAATTACCAAATTGCTGGCATAAAAATTTAGCTTTGAATGGGACGATATTGCACTAGTTATAAAAAATAAAAAAATAAAAAAAAAGAGAGAGTGAAAGCGTCCATTCTCTGTCTGTTTTGCTAGATGACATTTATGGGCTTTTTTTTTTACCGATGTTTAAGTGCATTTCAAGTAGGAAAAAGTATATATAAGGTTGCAACTTTAAAATGCGGAATTATAGATGCACTTCAAAAACCCATATGAAAGGGTTGATTTAATGTTGAAAAAACCTTTAATTGATCATATCGACATCGAGGTGTATGAATACGAAAAAAAAAAAAAAATTTTCAATCTTAAAAATAGTGCATCTTGTACTACATTATTTAGACCGTCAATTTTCAAGATTTTTCATATGTTTATAGATCTACTTGATTTTAACTATTTTTGGAGTTTCAAATTTTATAATTAAATATAAAAATAGATTTTGAGATAATCCTAAGAAACTTTTTCACCAAAATTACATGTTATGATAAAATTTGAAGGTGCGCCTTAATTGGATTGTTTAAAGTTGTGACCTTATAAAAACCACACCCTTTCAAGTATGATCCTTTTAAAATTTGAAAGTGCGCCTTAATTGGATTGTTTAAAGTTACGTCCTTATAGAAACCACACCCTTTCAAGTATGATAGTTTGAATTACTCATCATGGGGGGAGAGAGAAAAGAAAGCGGTTAGCTAGTCTAAATTGATGTATTCTAAGCATGAGATTGAAAGTATTCTATTCAATCACAACTCGATAGAAGCATTGAAGTTGTAGGAGAAACTCCTAGTGAAAGACAACATCAAAGAAAAGCATAGAACCAAGAATATACGCTAAGAGACTCCTAACATGATGGCTAAGCTTCAACAAAAGAGCATAGAAATTTAGAAAATACAACAAAAGAGCATAGAAATTTAGAAAATACACCTTTCCCACGACACCTACGTATAATTGTTTTTCATAGCATAAAATAAACCCGTGCTGTTTCTGACACGTCATCTCAAAAGATGTTAGTTTGTGTTATGCACATATCAGCATATTGTGCATGTGGATAATTATTTATCTATGTGTACGAGAAATATACATACCAATGACCTTTTAGGGTATTGGACTAGTGAAATAAACCCAGTTTTGTTCTTTTGGACTTGCAGGTCCAAATTCTTGAACACATTTCGAAATTGTCATGACATGTTCAAAGAGAACTTCGGCATGCATGACATGGCCAACATGGTCCCAAGTCCCAAATAGAGTTGGTTTAGTATAAAAGTTAAAAGCTGAGGCATGTTGCAAGGGCCTGCACCGTATATAATACCAAAGACATGACTTAGTCCGGCATTATAAATCCTTGCCATGCGCGTGCCAATCAAGGCACTGCACATGTGAGGTTCAATGTTGGTGGTTTGCTGACAAGAAATGCACATCTATAGCATACTTGGAAATACAACCACCGACAAGCCCAAATTAGATTGGAAAATAATAAATAATAACAATAAACCACATGAGTGACTAGTGTAAAATTTCTTAAGCGCCTGTGCATCTATGGTATACAAAACAGAGGTACGGCTTCACAAAGAGACGAGAGCAAATAAAAAAACCATTCAAGTTTCGGCTTGGTTGGTTATTGTGTTAACCATTTAATCCAATATCATACCCCACCTGAAGCAAGCTTGTTTTTTACTGATCAAAAAAAAAAAACGAGGAGAGCTTTTCCTGAATTCACTGTCATGTAATACACACAACATTGATGTTGCAGGTTGTGCAAAGTTAAACAGATTTAGTAGTAAGGGAATCTGATGAGATACTAGAACATTGCCTCTTGCATTTCTAATTTGCTAAATGGACATTGGACCTCTTGTTAACCTGTTCAGGATTCAAGAGCCATCCAATGGGATGTCAACCAGGCCTTAGATACAGGACCAATAGAACAAACGGAATAAATTGCTTTGTTAAATGAAAGAAGAGGATCCCTTCAAACAAGCATCCAAACAATTGGAAATGGTTCTACAGCAAATAGATGAAAGGATGAATCACCTGGTTTAACTGAGCATAATCAGTGTCATCTGCGCTGTTGACAACATGAATGCCAGATGAAGCTTGCATCCGTTGTATTAACTTTTTATTTCCAACCAAGGTCATTCTTGTCTTGTCAATCAAATCCTTCAATGGAATTCATAAACATTCAAAACTTGAGTGGAAACTCCACCTAAAAGTAAACACAACCATAGCCATGATGTAAAACATATACTAATTAACAACCAGAGTGATAATGCATATCACAAGCAAAACCATTTCTCATGGAAAACTCTCCAAAACATATGCAAATAACAATTAAATTCAACATGAAGACTTCAAAAGTCAAATGACGCTAAATGGAACACAAATCCTAAAGGTAGAGGACATAGATTTGCTGACAAGCACAAGAAAATGAAATTTCAGAATTTCAAAAAGCGCTCAATTCCAGAGACAATGACTGATTTATCAACCAAATATGCACGCACAAGCACTTGTCAGCACGCACACATGCATGCACGCACACAAACACGAAGACACACGCATGTGCACACACAGCCACCATGACCACCTAGGCCTTGAGCCTGTTCCTAAACCTAACGCATATCAAAAAAATAAAAATAAAAAGAATAAAAAAACAAAACCTAAATCACATCTAGCTATATTTAACCATCCTCTGGTTCTTATAATGAATGTGGAAAGAGTAATACGTCCTTGGGAAAGTAAGAAATGTGGCTTGCATTTTCCGCACCCCCACCCACAACAAGAGTCTAACATACACATCAAATTAAAAAGATGCAACAAGATGATCTGTAGCTCCCAAATTAAGAAATTGGTTTGCATTTTCCACTCCTTCTACATCAATCTAACATGCACGCATCAAATTAAAAGATGCGACAAACTCATCCACAACTCCCAAATTGATGACTTCGCAACATCTTCAAGACACCATAGGCCAGGATAATCCTTCCAACAAATGTTTGAAGCACAGTCACATATTTGGAAATATGTTCCAGAAACTAGATATGTTTATAATTTGACCAACAGACATTTGAGCTGTTTTCTGATTATCGAAATTTCTATGTCATATAGTGAACGCATAATATCTTCTTTCTTTGTTTTAAAAGATCCCAAGCTTTATTCTTGTAAAAACGTAAAGCCACTTCCTGAATTCTTAGTCTCTATACAGTAACCTTTCATCAATTCCTAAAAAAAAAAATGAAAACTAATTATATCAGTTAATTTAATCATCAAATATTCACTTCAAACAACATAAGTTGAAGTCGTAACCCAGATTCTTGCACTAAACAATAGATATTTAATATAGATTGTGCATCCAAATCAATATAAATGCAAAACCTATGTATAAGATGGTCTCACAAATTTGCTTTTAGAACATCATCATCATCATTTAAGCCTTATCTCGAATTAATTGGGGTTGGCTACATGAATCATTTCCTCGATTGTTCTCTAGCAAGGGTCATACCCTCAGTAAGATTAAAAATCCCCAAATCTTTTCTCACTAATTCTATCCATATCATTTTGGGTCTTCCCCTTGCTTTTTTAAAGCCTTCCACTTGAACCAAATCGTACCTCCTAACCGGTGTTGTATTAGGACTATGTTGCACATAGCCAACTCACCTAAGTCTATTTCCCTCATCTTATTGTCTATTGAAGCCACACCTAAGTTCCCCCACATGTATTTGTTCCGAATTCTATCTTTTTCAGTCTTGCCACTCATCCATCTTAACATCCTCATCTCAGCTAACTTCATCCTGTGGATATGTTGTTTCATGACCACCCAACATTCTGTCCCACAAAGCATGGCCAGTCTTTCAGCCCTCCTATAGAACTTACAAATTTGCTTTCATATGCTAGTGTTAAAAATTAAAATCCCTATCGCTACTATATAAACTTCATAATAAAATTACTGGCAGTCTTTCGATTTCAGCAATCCTCTTAAAAAATGGCAAGGAAAAAAGTCAGAAACTGTATGACCAGCCATGACAGGTCAATTTCCAAACATCATAACTTCACAAGAGATTTTAAATCCAGAAAACAAGCAATATTCAGTAATATGCTCGTATGAATACTAATAGTCATAGGAATCTTATTTCCATGCTTAACTTCATGAATTAATTTTTTTCATGTACGATGGATTGGGGCTATATATGTCACATTATGGCCCAAACCTGCTTGGCTGCAAGTAATTCACCACATTGCTCTTTCAGTGAAGGAAGTTCTTCATTCAGTTTCTTTATGCGAAGGAGAAGCCTCATGGGATTTGCCTGCAATATTAAAGCTAAAAATTGTTAAAGAACAAAATCCATGTTGAACTCACTAAAGCAAAGAACAGAACAATGAAAAATAGCAAATGACGTTGCATAAACCAATTAAATATAAAAATTAAACTTCAGCATGTCTAGATGGTATGTGATACCACTAAAACGACCAAAAAGGACCACCGAACAATATTTTCAAAAAATGGAAGGGATAAACTCCAGTAATGAAGATGCTTAGTTATTGTGTTCGTAAACTGATTAATAAATTGAAAAAAAATATATTCCAATTGATTAATCGAGCCAAATGCAAGACAGTTAAGAAGAGTAGGAACAAGGATTACAAGCCTGCTTGCAATAAGTTCAATAAAGCGTTCAGTACTATATTTTCTACTATAATTGTTCACTTAGAGAGAGTGAGAGAGGATCAAGATCGCTGTTACAACTAAAACCCTAAAAAATGCTTCCTATCTATCATGTCTTTGACCACTTCGAATGAAATGTCACCCAAAACCCTAATCCACAACCAAACATGGAAATAATCAAGTAAAGAAGCTGATCGATGGAAAAGACACACTTACATTGTCCGGATAGGCCTGCTCAAATTCCTTCTGCAATCTGTTCTGAACAACCTGCGAGCATCAATATACATAATCAATATGGGAAAATAGACATTTACGGAAAGAGAGAGAGAGAGGGAATGTCGTTGAAGTAACGGAAATAGATTAGAAGGAGAGAAGAATGAACACGAATAAAGCAAGGGGAGGTGCTGCCATCAAGCCAAAAAACATCTAGAGAGAGAGAGAGAGTTTTTGACAATGAGGGAGAAAGAATTCAACATTTAGAGAGAGAGAGAGTTGAACATTGAGATCGTTCTTGGCCTTGGTAAAGAGGTTGAAAAGAGCGTCGACGGCTTGGGAACCCTCTCTGCCTGCCATTAATCTCTCCCTCCCTCTTTCCTCTCTCTCTCTCTCTCTCTCTCTACTCTCTCTCTCTCTCTCTCTCTCTTCTCTTCTTCTTCGTTTCTTACTTCGTCCGTCCTACTTTCTTACTTCGTACTAACTACTCGTCGACTAACT